GAGAACACGGTACCAGAGAACACGGTACATTAGGACACAGTATCAGAGAACATGGTATCAGAGAACACGGTACCAGAGAACACGGTACATTAGGATACAGTACCTTAAAACACTAGATTCTAGGTTCTAGACGCGAAGCTGGCCCTTGTTCTGTTCCTAGTCCTGTCCCTGGTTCTGGTCGCAAACCTGGCCCTGGTCCTGGCCTGGCCTTGGTTCTGGTCCTGGTTCTGGTTCTGGTCCTGGTCCTAGCCCTGAAAAAACTGAGGTAAATGGGGAAGAGAAAAGGAAATAGAGTGAGAAAATAAATGTGGAACAGAGAAGAAGAAGAGAGAGAGAGAAAAGATGAGTGAAGGAGGGAGAGCAAGGAAAGGAAGGAAGTGAGGAAGAGAAACATAATCTCCTGCATGAAAGGTAGAGAACAGCAGGTTGTAATTTTCTGAAGTTCTAATGTTCTAATGTTCTAAAATTCTAATGTTCTGAATTTCTAATGTTCTGAAGTTCTAATGTTCTAATGTTTGAATGTCCTAATGTCCTAATGTCCTAATGTCCTAATGTCTACAGTTCTAATGTTTTAAAGTTCTAATGTTCTGAAGTTCTAAAGTTCTGAAATTTTAATGTTCTGAAGTTTTATTGTTTTGAAGTTTTAATGTTCTAATGTTCGAAAGTTCTAAGTTCTAAATTCTAAAGTTCTAATGTTCTGAGGTTCTAATGTTGTAAAGTTCTGAAGTTCTGATGTCCTGAAGGTCTAATGTCCTGAAGGTCTAAAGTTCTGATGTACTGATGTTCTGAAGTTGTAATGTTTGAATGTTCGAAAGCTCTAATGTTCTGAAGTTTTAATTTTCTAATGTTCTAATGTGCTAATATTCGAAAGTTCTAATGTTTTGAAGATGCTGATGTGGATTTGTGTAAAAACATGTGAAACCGTTTTTTTGGGTGAATTTACTTTCATCAGATTCAGGTGATTTCAATGAAACGTCGTGTTTTTCTATTTCTTGTCACTGAAACATTGATGAATTACTCGACTTTACATTTGTTTGATAGAAACAGTATCAGTCGATATTTAAACCTGGTCTGGATCAGAGGGTCTGTTCCATCTGGTTCTGCCCCACAGACCCTGTTCCATTTCCCTGTGTGATGTAGTGTGTGTGTGCGTGTGTGCGTGCGTGCGTGTTTGTATGTCTGTGAACTTGCACTTTTACAAACTCCAAGGGCCATCATGACCCCTCTGCTCACAGATGCATTCTGGGAGTTGAAGTCTTTGGGGCAGCAGTTCAACCACGTCTCCTCCTGGTCATGAACTACATTTCCCAGCATGCCCCGCGCACCTTCTTCCTTCCTGCAGCCCTCAGCCTGAGAGGAAGATGACGATCAGTCCGCCGACACTCGACCGAGTCTGAACCGAGTCTGAACCGAGTCTCACCTCCAGCGGAATGGAGACGGACCGGAGCCCGAGCTCCGCTGCTCTTCTCCGTCCTTAAAACTGACGCGACCACCGCTGGAGCTGCGGAGCTCCGGAGCCTGGAGGAGCGCCGGGTGGAGCCGGAGTCTGCTGGGCCGAGCCGGGCCGAGCCGGGCCGTCATCTCCCTTCACTGCGGAGGATGCTCAGCTAGCTGCAGGACTGAAGCCTCGACAGACCCGCACCCTGGAACCAGAGCCTACCCCCCCCTGCCCCCTCAGGTGAGTCACTCTGCACACCTGGAGGTTTCCTGCACCCTTTGGTCACACCGGATCCGGATCTCTAACTGCTGCTGTCAGTGATCTGGTTCTGATCCGGATCTGGGTCCAGGTGTGTCGGGTACTACAGGTTTGTCCTCCTGCTCTGCCCCCTCTGGTAGAAGGAGAGTTTGCAGTCAGGTGGTTCTATGGCTCCAACTTAATAACAACTTAAAGAGACCAGCTCACTCTTTAAGCAGAGGACTGCTACGCTGCCCCCTGTAGGCAGACTCTTCTAGTCAGTGATGTCACTGTCACCTTTAACTCTCTGTGACCACAGACCGTAAATAAAGATGGACAACATGACAGATCCCAGAAGTGAAGCCAAATCTTCCAGAGGTGGGGAATCGTCTTTTGATGACCCTGCATCAATGACAGAACATAATAAATTCATGTTTTTTACAATGTAAATTTTTCTAGCGATGTCCCACCACTGAATATTTATTATTATTATATGTACTCATTAAAGGTCCGGCCGTCTTTAACTGTGTCAGTCTCCAAAAGTCGTCCTCTACTCCCCTGCCGACCTGAGCTCACTTTGCACTGTAACAATAAACACCAACACTCATCCCAAGTTATTATGATGTGAACAGAACTGACGTTTAAACACATGGTTCATCTGTTACAGGACACGAGACACACAAAACCAGGAAGTCAGGGTTAAAGTGACCAGAACTGATTCATGATCCAACACCATCAAGTAATAAATAAATACATGTGAAAGTCAGTTTGTGTATAAAGAGCAACAGACACACACATACAGAAGAAGAAGCCTCGCCCTGTTTCTCCAGGAACATAAACATTAAATCATCAGGTTTTCATAAAGATCAACAAGTGATTAACAAAGAGCAGAGGAGCAGAAGCTGTTGACCAGCAGAGTGATGCTCCTCCATGCTGCCAGGCAGAGCCACACTGATACACAGAGATTCAAGATGCAGCACACAGGTCGAAACTGAATGAAGTCAAATCAATGTGGAGATCACTGACCACTACAACAGTGGTCAGTGATCTCAGATTTATTTAATGAAAAGGTTATTTTGTAGATTACAGCACACTTGTAATAACAGTAATGGTCTAAAACACTTTTTAAATCATGAGGCTAGTGCAGATTCACACCTTTAGTCACATGGTGATGAAAACACATACGTATAAAGATGCGTCAATAATCGTTTTATAATCGGTCGTAGCCCTCTGAATCAAATCGGGAGGTGCCTAGATTTTCCCAATCCAAAAATCTTTTGGATCGCCCCCTAGTGGCTGGCTGCAGTATAGGTCATAAACCCTGCCGTCCATCTTTATAAAGGTCCATCTATGGTTGTGACACCCTTTAATAAAACTACCAATCAGGAGCTAAGATGGTCGCTTCTGATCCTGCTCAGTAGTTGATTTGATCTTTGTTCCTGTTGTTGCAGTTTCCCTGCAGGCTGCAGCATGGAGCGCTCTGGCAGCATCCAACTCGACATCCCGGACTTCAGTAACTCGGTTCTGTCTCACTTGAACCAGCTCCGTGTTCAGGGCCGTCTCTGCGACATCGTGGTCAATGTTCAGGGCCAGAGCTTCCGTGCACACAAGGTGGTCCTGGCCGCAAGCTCACCGTACTTCCGGGACCACATGTCTCTGAGCCAGATGAGCACGGTGTCACTGACAGTGATCCGAAACCCGTCTGTGTTCGAGCAGCTGCTGTCCTTCTGCTACACGGGCCGTCTTTGCCTGCAGCTCGCTGACATTATCAGCTACCTGACGGCTGCCAGCTTCCTGCAGATGCAGCACATCATCGACCGTTGCACCCAGATCCTGGAGGGCATCCACCTGAAGATCAGCCTGGCCGAACTGGATGAGGAGTCCAGGGAGGAAGAAGTGCGGGGGTCCAGGGGGGGCCGAACCCTGGAGGCAGTGGTCCGAGGAGGGGGTCATCGCGGTGGTCTGCGGCTCCTTGGCCCACGTGGTGGTGCAGTGGCACTTGAAGCAATTAGCCCTGTTGAAGAGCCGATCAGCCCGCCCCCAACTGTGGAGCACAGTGGGTTGGAGGGGCCCGGGGTCGCTGCTGCTGGCAGAGCAGGCAAAGAACCGATCCTTCGCATTAACCGGGCTGGTCAGTGGTACATGGAGACGAGCAGCGAGCCAGAGAGAAGCGGGAGCGCGGAGGAGGCTGGCAGCGTAGATGGAGTAAGGATCAAGACAGAGAGGATGGAGGAGTGGATTGGAGCCGGAGAGCAACAGGAAGAGGGGGGGCAAGTGGAGGAAGGGACCACCGTGATGATCGACACGTCAGGACGCAGCACGCTGGTGACCGGGCCAGTGGGGGCGCTAGGGGCCCGGAGCGTCCAACCATCCTCCAGCTTCAGTGAGACAGACAGGTAACTTCTGCAATGACACTGTTGATGTCACTGAATATACTGGATGCTTGACGAGTGTGTTCGTGTGTGTATCAGGTTCAGTCCCACCGGCAGCGTGGTCGTCCTGGCGGAACGTCAAAGAGCGAAGAGTGAGTCACCCAATAGGGCGGACGAAGTGCGACCGCCGAACTCCCAGGTACCAATTCAACTTGTACTTATACATCACAAATATTACAAATATCACAATCTGCCCTCAGACCCTCCAGTGAAATAATGAAAACAGCCGGTTTCCTTTTATTCTCTATTCTCAGCTGAATAAAACATTTTAATTAACAAACACAATCATCAGCTGCGGTTTATGTTCTTTTGAGGAAATTGTCATGTAACAATTAGTTTGTACAAATGATACAACACCAGGAACAATGACGAAAATAAGATGAGGATTTTATTGTCTCTTTTATTGTTCGAATGATTTAAAAGTCAGTAAAACTAAACATTGAGCTCGACTGGTACTGTAACCTTAGAAACACTTCAGTGGCCACTAAACCCCAAAGTCTCCCAGATCACAGTATCGGCTAGAACCCTTAAAAGAGAGCGAAGTAGAACCAGTTACAAACCCAATGGGACCATTAGAATCATCCATGGGAGCCACTTAACTGACACAGAACCTCAGGTGCACATGAACTGGAGAGTGTCTGTTGAATCCTCTATACTCTTGTGTATTTGTAGGTGTTGTTTTACCATGAGCCTCCAGAACTTCCTGAAGGACACATTCCCTTGGTGTTTAAAACGTTTCTAAATGGACTTTGGTCCTGTTTGTCATGGGGTTGGTGTATTAACATGTAATTCTGCCTGTCAGGGCGAGGAGCATGCAGCATTTGATATGGGTGGTTACGAGGACTACCTAAGGGAACAAGTAGGAGACCGCTGGTTCCGTTACAACCCCCGACTCACCTGCATCTACTGCTGCAAGTCCTTCAATCAGAAGGGCAGCCTGGACCGCCACATGCGCCTGCACATGGGTATCACGCCATTTGTCTGTCGTATTTGCGGGAAGAAGTACACCCGCAAGGACCAGCTGGAGTACCACATCCGCAAGCACACGGGTAACAAGCCCTTCCACTGCCACGTATGCGGCAAGAGCTTCCCCTTCCAGGCCATCCTCAATCAACACTTCCGCAAGAACCACCCTGGCTGTGCCCCCCAAGAGGCTCACAGCGCTTCCCCCGAGACCACCACCACCTCTGTCACATCCAGGGGGGGTCCAAGCGACGAGGCTTCTCCTAGCCAGGAAGAGCCAGAGGGTGCGGGCAGTGGTGGTGGGAGCAGCAGTGGCGGAGGCCAGTATAGTGAGGGGCCCCAGGCCTCAGTCTCGACCACTGGGCCTGACTGACCCAGAGAGGTGAAGGGTGGGGTGATGCCACAGCAGCGTCAGAAAAGACACCTTTCAGTCCGAACTGAGATTTTTTTCCGCTTTAAACCGCATCTACCTTCACTAACCAAAACAAACAGATTAAGCTAAAATGAAGAAATGCCACACACCCCAACAACCTCATACACCACAGGACATGGTGGTTCTCATTTATTATGTTACAGATTTCTAATTTTATATTTACAAGTATTACAGGTTCACAAATTAACATCACAACAGTTTGTCTGGTGGAAACTTTGCCAAACTACTCAGTGCCAGTTTAACAGTTTAAATCCTTCATATTTGCCTTGAGACAATCCAGGGTGCAGAGTTGGATTTTATTAATCCTGCGTCCTCTTCAAGTGCCACAACGACATCAAAAGATAAAGCTGCAAAAAAAGGTTCAATTAGAAAACCACGTTTAGTTCCAGTGTGATCAGAGTTTCTATGAATGAGCTCTGTGTTGTGAAAGAAGGAAAGTTTCACTCTACTGATATAAACATGTATCAAACATGTAAACCCACATATCAAACATATAAACACACATGTAAGCACATCAATCTTAATCTTAATCAAACATGTAAACACACATGTAAACACACATGTAAACTCATCAAACATGTAAACACGTCACACATGTAAACATATATCAAACATATAAACACATATCAAACATATAAACACATGTAAACACATCAAACATGTAAACACACATATCAAACATATAAACACACATGTAAGCACATCAATCTTAATCTTAATCAAACATGTAAACACACATGTAAACACATCAAACATGTACACACGTCAAACATGTAAACACATCAAACATGTAAACACACATTTAAACACATGTAAACATGTCAAACATGTAAACACATATCAAACATATAAACACATGTCACGCATGTAAACACATATCAAACATATAAACACACACATCAAACATGTAAACACATGTCACACATGTTAACACTGATATAAAACATGTAAACACATCAAACAGAATTCACACTACAGTGTAGTTCTGTCATGTTGCCTTTAGGGGGCGACCTTTGTTGCTCTATTTTTAAACTTATTGTTTCATCTTTAAATGTTAAAAAACAAACATACGTCTTTAAGGTGTCATCAGTTTGACTCTGGTTTA